TGCCTGCTCAAAGCAGGACCAATCCCCAATTAAATCATCCCAGCCAGGCCTTTGTCAAGCCGGGCCTTAAAAACCTCTAAGAAAGGAGATTCTACCACTTCCCTAGGTAACCCATTCCAGTGCTTCACCACTCTCCTAGTGAAAAAGTTTGTCCTAATATCCAACCTAAACCTCCCGCACTGCAACTTGAGACCATTGCTCCTTGTTCTGTCATCTGCCACCACTGAGAACAATCTAGATCCATCCTCTTTGGAACCCCCTTTCAGGTAGTTGAAAGCAGCTACCAAATCCCCCCTCACTCTTCTCTTCTGCAGACTAAACAATCCCAGTTCCCTCAGCCTCTCCTCATAAGTCATGTGCTCCAGCCCCCTAATCATTTTTGTTGCCCTCCGCTGGACTCTTTCCAATTTTTCCACATCCTTCTTGTAGTGTGGGGCCCAAAACTGGACACAGTACTCCAGATGAGGCCTGTGGGGGGGAGGAATAGCTCAGTGGTTTGAGCATTGGCCTGCTTAAACCCAGTGTTGTGAGTTCAATCCTTGAGGGTGCTACTTAGGGATCTGGGGCAAAAATCAGTACTTGGTCCTGCTAATGAAGGCAGGGGGCTGGACTCAATGACCTTTCAAGGTCCCTTCCAGTTCTATGAGATAGGTATATCTCAATGTCAAATAGAGGGGAATGATCAGATCCCTCAATCTGCTGGCAATGCCCCTACTTATACAGCCCAAAATGCCATTAGCCTTCTTGGCAACAAGGGCACACTGTTGACTCATATCCAGCTTCTCATCCACTGTAACCCATAGGTCCTTTTCTGCAGAACTGCTTCCTAGCCATTTGGTCCCTAGTCTGTAACAGTGAATGGGATTCTTCTGTCCTAAATTTAGGACTCTGCACTTGTCCTTGTTGAACCTCATCAGATTTCTTTTGGCCCAATCCTCTGATTTGTCTAGGCAGTTAAAAGAGAAACAGTCTCCAGCCTGCCAGACCTATTAGCACAACACTGAAACTGTTAAAGAGCCATTCAAGGGGTAATGAACACATTTAACAGGCATTTGCCAACCCCCAGGTATCATCTACTGTCAGTTTCTGAATGTACTGACAAAAACAGTTGTGCATGACTGTAATATTTACTCAGAACATGTCAGTCTACAGGACCTTACTTTAAAATTTGCTTTAAAAATATTTCATTAGTGAGTTGGCAAAGATTATAAAATCACATCTCTAAAAAATCCTTGCATAGATTTTTAGATGCACAATCATCTTTAGCCTTAAATGCTTGGATCTTCAGACATATGGTTTTTTAAATAAATTCTTCAAAAGACCACCCTTATCTAAAATACACATTTTAATTACTATAGTAAAAAAACTTACTTCCAAAGTCTTCCTGTCCTTTCTGTCCATCCACTTCTCCCTTCCCTCCCTCTTCCCTCCCCCACATTGAAGGAAGCAACAGCCCTTTGCTTCCAGATAGCTGGACAGAGTTTCTCTTTCTTTACTTCTGACTATCTGATGAACTAGTTTTAAGCAAAATCAGTACCTTAGTAAGATATAAAATCCTTTGTTATGCCTAAAATCTTTGGAAACATATTTTTTAAAGTTGGTGAAATGTCATAAACATGTGTATTGTTATGGAGATCACACAGTAAATTAGAGTTCCCTTTTTCTAAAAGCAATGAACACTGTTATGAACACACTAAACCTCTGTGACTGATTAATTTAAAATAATGTCTGTTTCAGTGAGTTAACTATGTAGTAATCTGGAATGATGACTTTATGAAGGCTTAAGAGTACATTTAAAATATAAAATCAGCTTAGAAATACTGATTAAGAAAATGTAAAACAGAGAAGAGCTGCATCATGGATTCCATAATATTTAATGTTGTATTTAGCATGACAGCTGACTCGCCCTTACTACAAAGTTTTTGCAAATAAATGTCTGACAAACTTCAGGGCATGTCAAAAAACCCGTGACTGACATTTTTTATTCCCAAGTTTAGTGCTTTTAATTAGGTACCTTCTGCATGTCCATTCTGCGTGAGGGAGAGGGTACAGGGCTCTCTGCGGGGAACTGTGACTTTCCGCCACGGTGAGGCAGGCCGGGCGTCTTCTTGTTCTTTCTGCCTTGTCCCCCCGCCCCTGTCGGGCTGCAAGCTCAGGCTGCGGTCGGGCATAGATGCACCAGTTTAATAATACTGCATAGGGCTTGCGGGGGCAGTGAGCCCCAGCCATGGAGGAGCTGGCGCGGCACAGGGGGGCAGGAGCCCTGCAAAGGCAGCGGCGCCACTAGCGGGGAGCAGCCGTGCCCCCCCGCCCCTCCTGCCCAGACTGCGGCCTGGCGCCCCCCCAGGGGGCACCTGCAGACTGCAGCAGACGCATACGGGCAGAGGCCCCCGTGTGCCTCCCCCAACTCTCCCCTCGCTACGCTCGAGCTCTGCGGCTCCCGGGCATGTGAGCAGCTGCTGGGGTGCGGGGCCCTGAGACTGCTCCGGGAGGGGGAGGGGTGGCAGCGGCTCATACTCCCGTGAGCCGCAGAGCCCGAGCGTGGCGAGGGAGGAGCCGGGCGGGGGGTTCCACGGAGGCCTCTGCCCACATGCATCTGCTGCAGGAGCCCCCAGAAGGCAGCTCCTCACTGCTGAGCTGCTGCAGCGGCCCAAGCCCAGCAAAGCCAGTGAGTGGACTCGGGGTGGGGGCCGCAGAGGTGGGGTGAGGAGGGCTTGCGGGGGGGCTGTGCACCCTCCAGGGGAGTTCAGGGGGTGGGGAGGGGGGAACCTGGTCTGGGGAGCAGCCCCTGGGCACGGCTGGCCCCTGGGATCTATAAAGGCTCGTTGGGATTTGCTCCTCAATGAACCGATGTTACGGGGGGGGGGGACGCAAGGTGGAAGTTTCACCTAGGGCACAAAATATCCTTGCACCGGCCCTGCTGATGTGTGTGTAG